ATGCATGGTTCAATTTATCAGTTGTTGTTGTCTTGTGTTTGCGTATCATTTTCATCCAATAACGCTTGCAGATCGGCGTCCTCAAATGTTTTTGGTCTTCCGGAGCGCTCCTTGTCCTCAGTGTCGAAATCGCCATTTCTAAAGCGTTTAAACCAATCTTCACAAGTAGTTTTCGATTGTGCATGTTCGCCGTAGGCTTTCTCAAGCAAACGGCGTGCTTCAGCTGCATTTTCTTTCAAGTTGAAGCAGAAAAGCAAAGCTTCCCGCAAATGCTGTTTATTTGGCACAAAACTCGACATCTTTATTGTTAGAAAAAATATTTTTGCGTTGCAATATGTGTTGGTATTATGACTGGTTATTGTTGACAGATGTCCAAGTTAATAAAAAAACACAACTTTAGACATGTATATCGACTACATGTATCGTTAGCGCCATTCATGTGTGAAACCCGGAAACTTAGTTGCGCACCTAGTACTAGTCTTTTCACGTTATTCGATGAAATTGTTTTTCGTATATAGACAATGCGTAAAGTAAAATCTTACATCTGCCATGCTGCTTCCATTTCTCTGATTTTCTCGATACTCTTCATGCCTTTTGGAAGCTGAGATTCGTAGATAATTCCTGGTTTTCCTGCGGTTCTGATTATAGCCCTAGTCTCGTCCATTCCGTAAAGATTCGTGGCTCTGCATAAATATTCGCCGCTATCCTCTGGATAGACCCAACCAAAGTTCATCGCTACGTAGCCGAAGTCGTAAATAGGCGTGAATCGATTTTTATGAGGCAACGGTTTTCCGTTGAAGAACCATTCAACTTTCATGTTTGGATCACCCACGGGAGCCAATTGGCACTCGAACTTGGTGCTATTCATTTCAACGAGATCGGTCTGATCCAGAATCTGTGTAACAAAACGAGGCGGCTGTTTTTTGTCCGCGTCATATAAATCATCCTCGGTTAAATGAACTTCCGAAGTATATTTTTTAATTGTCGCTTCCATTTGCATTAGTGCCTCAGATTTTTTCATACCCTTTGGCACTTGATTTTGTAGAATAATGCTCGGCAATTCTATAAAACAGAAATTTGTTTGAGGAATTTGAAGAAGAAGAATTAAAATAAAAGATAACAAGATAAAAAAAAGCATACTTTTGCAAGATACGGCAGCTCGAGTGGTGTCTTCTCCAAGATCGTTAATGGCTTTGCAAACATATTCACCAGAATCCTCGGGATAGACGTACAAGATGTCCATCGACACGAATCCCATATCGTAAACCGATCTGTATCTGTGTCCGGCGGGTATCACTTTACCATTTCTGTACCACTCAATGCGTAGATTTGGATCTTCTTTAGGCTCGACACGGCATTCGAATCTAACCGGTTCACCCTCGTCTACTGTCGCTGATTGAATTTGCGTGATGAAATGAGGAGGTTGTCGCGGTGCTTCCGGTGCAGGGGCTTGAGAGACCGGTCCTCGCTCCAATTCTTTTAACTTTTCGCCACTCATTCCCGATGGCAGTTGAGAGTCGAAATCTATTGTTTTCTTGGCTGTAAAAAAGTATTATTTTTATTACACGTTATTACAATAACGTAAAACGATTTGCAAATGTGGTAGTGTATTTCTGAAATATTATCGATTCGATTTGGTCGCGCAACTTACATTTGCAAGTGATGGTGGCTTTAGTAGTAGCAGAGCCCCATTTGTTGGTAGCTCTGCAAACGTATTCGCCGCTGTCTCGTGCGTATGTGTACGACATATCCAGTGATATAAATCCGAAATCATTAATCTGATGTACTCGAGAGCCTGTCGCGAAGGGCCGGCCGTTATGGAACCAATCGATGCGCATGGAAGGATCGCCCACAGGCTCGACTCTACAATCGAAGTGACTTGGTCCAGCTTCTTCGACTTCGATATCTTTAAGTTCGACAGTGAATTTCGGCGGATTCGGTGTTTCTTCTTCCGCCAAAATCTCGTCTCTTTTGTATAAAGATTCTTCCAATTTCTGAATGCTTTCCGTGCCGGTTTTGAAATTGCTTGGCAATTGAGGCTCCAAGATGATACCTTGACGTCCACGGACTTGAAGCTTGCATGACACCGTGGCTTCGCCGTGGCGATTGGTGGCTTTACAAGTGTATAAACCGGAATCGCGTTGATAACAGTTCGCGACTTCTAGAATGACGAAACCAAAGTCGTGAATTGTTTTGATTCTACTGCCAGCGAGAAGAGGCTTGCCGTTATGGAACCATTCGACTCTCATGCTAGAGTCATTAATTGGTTGTAATCGACACTCGAAATGAGCAAGAGAGTTCTCAGCCAAAGTCAGGTCGGAAGGAGTCGTGATGAATTCTGGCGGTCTTCCGGTATCATCCTCGGGACTAGCTTGACCCGGACCCGGAACAAGGCCCTCCAATTCGGCGATTTTATCGATTGTACTTTCCATACCTTTGGGTAGCTGTGACTCCAAAATAATGCTTCGCTTGCCCGTACATTTCATCGTGCATGTCGTCACTGCTTCACCATAATCATTTGTCGCTCTGCAACTATATTCACCGGAATCTTCTGGATAAATAGGAGAAATTTCCAAAATGACGAAACCAAAATCGCAGAAAGTGCGGAAGCGAGATCCCGTTCGCAATGGTTTACCATTCCAGAACCATTCGACCTGCATTAAAAGAATATATACAATGTGATATTAAAATATAATATGATAATAAAATATAATATGCAATATGTACATACATATGTTATAATAGATTAAAAAGACAAAAATTAATCAATTTAGCTTGCCTTTAATTTTGGATCGTCCGTAGGTATTAGTCGTGCCTCAAAATGCGCGCTTTCTCCCTCGCGTAGACCATCGATATTACTTAAAGGCACAGTAAATACTGGAGCCTTGCCACGTTCTTCAACAGTTTTCTCATCTTTCGTACGTATCATCGAATCTTCGAGATTTTGGATTTTTTCTAGACCGCCTTCCATACCTTTCGGAAGTTGCGACTCCAAGACAAGATTAGTCTTGGAGAAGCACTTGAGCGTTGCTTTTGTAGAATCTTCGCCGTACTTGTTAACGGCTCTGCACTCGTAAATCCCGGAGTTCTCTTCGTAACAATAGAGAATGTCCAGGATAACGATGCCGAAGTCGTGGAAAGTACGATATCGATGGCCGTGGGGAAGCTTTTTGCCATTGTAATACCACTCGACTTTCAAGTCGGGATCAGTCACCGGAGTCAGTCTAGCCTCGAAATGTGCAGATTGTCCTTCTACCAGCTTCGTAATGTCAGTGATTTGTGTGATAAATCTCGGTGGTTCGGCGACGGGAGTTGTAGGTGTAGTCGGTTGTTCTCCGCTGTAACTTTCGAGCTCTCGAATTCTAGCGAGAGAATCTGGTTGCAGGGAATCTAAATAAACCCCGCTCTTGCCGAAGCATTTAATCTTGGCTTTTGTATAATCTTCGCCGTATTTGTTGCTAGCTTTGCAAACGTATTCGCCGGTGTCGTGAGACATCACTCCGGCGATGTCCATAACTACGAAGCCGAAATCAGAGACCATCTTAAAGCGCGAGGAGTGCCGGAGAGGCTTTCCATTGTGGAACCACTCGACTTTCATGTGAGGATCGCCCACAGGAATTAACGTGCACTCAAAGTGAGCCGATTGGCCATCCTTCAAACCTTCTAAAGACTGAATATGCGTGGTGAATTTCGGTTTTTGTCCCTTGGATTTGTCAATGCATTCCAGTTCTACGCTGATTTCTGCTTTACCCCATTTATTGGTGGCTCTACAAGTATAAGTGCCCGAATCTTCGATTTTAGTGCCGAGAACCTCGAGGACAACCATGCCGAAAGCGTAAACGGTCCTCGTGCGATGACTAGCTTCTAAAGATTTGCCATTGTAGAACCATTCAACTACCATAGTTTGGTCGCCAGTAGGAATGAGCGACGCTTCAAAGTGAGCGATTTCTCCCTCCGATAAATTGGTCAAATTCTCAAATTGTGACGTAAACATAGGTGGTTGACCTTCTTCATCTCCCGGTGGAACACCTTCTTGCCGTTTCAAAGACTCCTCGAGATCTTGAATTGCTTCGAGACCCTCCTTGCCTTTAGGATGCTGCGACTTTTCGATGATATTTTCCTTCGTGGAACAGTAAATTGTTGTCGATGTGAAGGCTTCGCCCGCTTTATTATATGCTTTGCAAGTGTAAATACCGGAGTCACGCTCATAAACGTCTGTTAAATCCAAAGTGACAAATCCAAAATCGCTAGTCATTTTAAATCGCGAACCGTGTTCTAAGGGTTTTCCATTAAAGTACCAATCGATCTTTAAGTTCGGATCGTCTTTTGGCTCGACTTGTCCTTCTAAATGTAACGGTTCGGATTCTCCAAGTTTAAATTCAGGCAGAAGAGGTACGGTCCAGATCGGTTTTGGATATTCGTGTTCAGGAGCTTCCTGTGGTCTCTTGTATTTCGATAGATAAGCGTCCTCAGCCTCTTTCACTTTCTCAAGTCCGGCTTCTCCTTGTGGATGTTGCGTTTGCAGATAGATATTTTGTTTGCTGGTGCACTTCAAAGTACCCGACGTCTGCGCACTTCCTTTTGAGTTTGTCGCTTTAACGGTAATTATGCCAGAATCCTCTTCGTAAGCGTGATTCAAATCCAAAGCCACATAGCCAAAATCATAAGTGCTCTTAAATCTCGCGCCGGTCGGTAAAGGTTTACTATTTAAGAACCATTCGATTTTCATTGTTGGATCTTTCGATGGTTCTACGTTGCACTCGAAGTGAGCGTTATCGCCTTCGATGCATTCCACGTTGTTTAAATGAGTGATAAACACCGGTTCTTCGTAAATAGGTTCCGGTTGCTCAGTAGAAGTTATCTGAGGCTGCTCCAGAGCATCGATCTTCGGCAGAGCGTCGGGATGCAAAGTATCTCCCAATAACCAGTGTCGATCGGAAATTTTCAAGCTGCAGGTTGACACAGCTTCTCCCAAAAGATTAGTCGCCTTGCAAGTATAAATTGCAGAATCGTCGGGTCTTAGACCGTTGATTGATAGTGTTACTAAGCCGAAGTCGAAAGTACTACGAATCCTGGTTCCAGTCTGAAGAGGCATACCGTTTTTGAACCATTCTACTCTTAAATTTGGATCGGCTCGCGGCTCCACCTGCGCCTCTAAATAAACATGTTGACCTTCTATCAGTTTATCGAAACTCTCAAGATGCTTAGTGAAAACTGGTGCTTGCTGCGGCGTTGTGTCGACAAACATTTCCGGCACTCTGTTCATTTCCGCTTCCTTCAATTGAATCTTCTGCCATGCGTCCGCTTGTATGCTCTCGGAATCGATGGCTGAACGCGCTCTTACTTTCAGAGAAATCGACGATACCGCCTCCCCCGCGTTGTTGATCGCTTTGCAAGTATACATTCCGGAGTCTTCGGGGATGACTTTCAGAATGTCTAACGTTACGTATCCGAAGTCGTGACTTACGTGGAAGCGTGAACCTAAATAACAATGCACAACGAATATTAAATATCTATAATAATAATTAATAATAATTTATCGAAGATGCGTATTATCTTACCCATTTTTAATTCGACTCCGTTTATGTACCATTCGAATCTCAAACTCGCATCGCCAACAGGAACAACTCTGCATTCGTATCTAGCCATTTGTCCTTCCCAGAGTTCAGTTGGCCCGGTTAGTAATTGCGTGAAAATCGGTTTATCAAAGATCTTTTCCGGCTGTTCAGGACGTCCAACCTCCTTGGCTTCCAGCTGAGCAATTCTACGCTGTGCTTCCGGATGCTGAGTATCTAGTTGTATGCTTGCCTTGCCTATTATTAATTAATTAATTAATTAATCAATTAAGTTTGACAATTCATTAGCTTAAATTATAAGATCACTTACTTTTGATTTTCATCGAAGCCGTGGTAACCGCTTCACCGAGTGGATTAGAAGCGCGACACATGTAAACACCCTCATCTTCGTCACGTACGTGAGCGATGTCCAGAGATACAAAGCCAAAATCGTGCACTTTTGTAATTCGCGAACCTAAAAAGAATCACAGCAAATATTAGTTTCTTAATTACTTGTCATACGTTTATATACTCGCAAGATATGATTGTGTAATCATTATTTGCGCATTAATATTGAAAATTCGTATCTGACGATTCTTACTTGTCTCGAGGGGCACTTCGTTTCTGAACCATTCGACTTTGAGCATAGGATCGCCCACAGGAATGAGCCTGCATTCGAAATGCGCGGTATGACCCTCGGCAATGCTGTCGATATTTTGCAAGGGTTGAGTGAAGACCGGTCGCTGCCGAGTTTGAGGCTCTGGCACATCCGGTCTCTTCCACGGTTGTTGAGCTTCGAGTTCCCGGATCTTGTCCAGGCCCTCGGGTCGTTGGGAATCCAGAATAATGTTATCTCGCGGGATTACTTTGAGCTCGATGGATGATTTACACTGTCCCAGAGCATTTATCGCTCGTACAGAGTATTGTCCCGCGTCTTCGGGTACGGCATGACCAATGTCTAGAGCCACGTATCCGAAATCGAAAGTGACGTGGAAACGCGCTGCCGACGGTAATGGTTTTCCATTGTGGAAGAATTCGATTCTTAGATTAGCATCGTGCAAAGGCTCCACTTGACACTCGAAATGAGCGGTCTGTCCTTCGTATACCTCGGTTGTGCCCTGCAAAGATTTTTTTTATATTTATTGCTTGCTACATTTATCATATCTTTTATATTTGTTACATTAATATACGTTATACAATAGATAGTCACATTTTAATATACGTTGTTATTATTAGTATCGCTTACCCTAAGCTCAGTGACAAATCTTGGTGGTGTTGCTATCGGTTCTTCGACTTCTAATCGTGCAGGATGACCCTGAGCTTCTAACTCTCGAATCTTTTCTAGGCCATCGGGATGTTGAGTGTCCAAAAGAATACTTCGTCGGGCTAAAATAAAAATGATATAATTATTTTGTTTTTTTTTCCAATAATTGAGTTTTTATTACCAGCACAATGCGTGCTTTCTTGAATTAAAAAAATCCAATTTTGCTAAAACTTGATTCGGGAAGTTACAGTCATGTTTTTCAGAATATTATGTGTAATAATTACAATAGCCATTTTTTGAAGCCATTATTTATATATAAATTTTAACCAAAATCTTCTTTGTAAAAGCGACGCCGGTCATTCGACAGATGGTCTTTTTCTTTGCGATGAATTTTATCGTTGCCAATAAATGTTTTTGAATTTTTCACAGGTGGGAAATTGAATGTTGGGTATTGTCTGTTTTTTGCTAATAATTATGAGGAATAATATGCATTAACACAAGATTAATGTGTATGAATATTACGCAACATGATATTGAATACTTACAGCCAACTTTGATAGTGCAGGTGTTAACGGCTTCGCCAGCCAAATTTGTTGCTTTACACATGTAAGTACCCGAATCTTCGGGATAAGTATAAAGGATATCAAGAGCCACATAGCCAAAATCGTGTGTAGTACGGAAGCGATGACCAGTTTTAATCGCGACTCCATTGACAAACCTATTAAGTGCAAGGAAATTTAATCAATTAATCGATTTGATTATTCAGTAAAGATATCGAAGTCATTGTTGTATTGTTTTTATCTTAATTTTTGGATATTTAAACTTTTAAAGCACAAAATAATTTTTTTCCTATTATAACATGACGTAGTGTTATTTGTAAAAATACCATTCGATTTTCAAGTTTGGATCGTTAATTGGCTCCACACGACATTCCAGATGAGCATGTTCGCCTTCTTTGAGGTGATCCAGATTGTTCAACGGCGTTAAAAAGACAGGTTTTTGATGAATAACCTCCTTTTCAACCTCTTCTTTGATTTCGACAGTTTCCAATTCTCGAATCTTTTGCAGACGTTGAGCATCCAAAGTATCAAGGTATAAGCCTTGTTTTGCTATTTGCAGAAATAATTTTACGTTTACGTTTTTATTAAAATATATGTCGAATTAATAATTTAAAATTCGTTTACACTTATCAATTTTGCGAAGTACAAAGATATTTTTGTTTTATCTGGCATTTCTCGTTTTATCTCGCATTTTTCATTTGTTTCAAATGTTTAAATTTTATGAAAAGAGACATTGTAATAGATGTTTATCAAGATAGTATAACTAATGAGTGAATAAAGCATAAAGTATTACTTACAATCTATGCTAATCACACACGTAGTGACTGCCTCGCCAACGGCGTTCCTCGCTTTACACATGTAAGTACCCGAATCTTCAGGGTAAGCGTAAAGAATATCGAGAGCGACGTATCCAAAATCGTAGGTTGTTTTAAATTTGTGTCCCTGAGGAACGGGACGTCCGTCTCTGAACCACTCGACGACCATTGTCGGATCGTTCACAGGTGTCAATGTAGCTTCGAGATGAGCGTTTTTGCCTTCCGGGAGATGTTCGATATTCTTTAGCGGTCGTCCAAAAGCGGGCTTCTCGGCGATGATCGCATCTTCTTCAACCACGCGTTTGTATCTCGAATCGTCTTCGAGATATTGTATCTTTTTCAACGCGCTCTCATGCTGTGTGTCGCGAATAATCGATGCCCGGGCTAAAAAAATGACTTTTGTTAATTTAGCGCTTTAAGCGATGTAAGAAAGGGAGAAATTCCAAATAAATTAATATGTACAAACAAAATTATAAATATATCGATACTGATGTAACAATATATATAAAGCAGATAATTGCACAACAACGAAATCGACCAGTACTAGCTACATTCGCATGCAAGCGCGCTCTTATATTACTCACATTTCACGTCAAGATTAATCGAGCTTGTCGCCGATCCCAATTTATTGGTGGCTCGACAAGTATATGTGCCCGAATCCTCGGCATACACAGTCAACACGTCCAACGATGCGAATCCAAAGTCACAGGTCGTTCTATACCTATGACCGGTGGATAATGGTTTGCCATTGTGGAACCATTCCACCTTCATGTTGGGATCGGGATAAGGTTCTATGCGGCACTCATAGTGTGCGCTTTGACCTTCGACTAGACTGGTAGGTCCGTTCAATTGAACCGTAAAGGATGGCTTGTCTTTTACCACGATCTCTTCCTCCTCACGACGTTGATATTTCGTGGTATCCTCCAGGGCTTGGAGTTTCGATAAAGCGCTCTCGTGTTGTGTTTCAAACTGCAAGGCTGCTTTGGCTGCATTTGAGAAGAATTGTAATAGTGTAAATTTGCATAGTGTAATTGTACGAGTTGTAAAGGAAACTTGTATTTATTCAAGTGGGCTCCGCGACATAACAAAAGTTTTCAGTCGCATCACAAAATATTACACGAGTAGTTATTTGCATATAATAGCGGATAAGTTTAGCAACAACACATAACGTTAAATTAATGTATAAACCAGCTAATAATAAAATACAAAAATATAAAATTGATTAGATAGCATTGATGTATGTTTCAAGTATTTTTTTTCATTTAGTGGCATAAGCAGCAGGTTTAGTTAATGGTTGATAAACCATTGAGATGTAATTTGCATAATTTACGAAAAATTGTGAAGGCCAGTTGCTTAAACCGATTATCACGAAGCTCAGGATAAATGCTACATTGCTTACTATTGATTATATTTTATAAATAAATTTGCAAATCGTGCAAAATATTTGTTATTATATACCTGAATTGCGCGTTAAATCAGCGGTTTACTTACATTGGACGAATAGTGTTGCTGAAGTGACTGCTTCTCCAAGCTCGTTTGTCGCGCGACACGTATAAGTGCCTGAATCTTCCGGATTAACGTACTTCATGTTTAAGGCGACATATCCAAAGTCGTGCATGGTCGTCACACGATTCGCTTTTATAGAAAGTGAAATAATAAAGAATATTTTTGATCGCGAATATCAACATATAAATAATTAAATACGTAAATTCGTAAGACAGACTTACAAGCTGAGATAGGAACTCCATTGCGCAGCCATTCCACTTTGAGTTTAGGATCTCCAACTGGGATAACGCGTGCTTCGAAATGCGCTGCCTGATTCTCAGCAACACGAAGATCTTTTATTGGCAACGTAAAGACTGGAGCTTGTGTAACAATTTCCTCGGTTGTGGTTTTACGTTGATAGCGAGACGTATCCTCCAATGAGCGAAGACGTAGAAGAGTTTCCTCGTTTTGAGTTTCCGTGTAGATCGATTTTTTGGCTAAAAAAAAAAGATAGTGAATTAATGCTGCCATATTGAAATCAATTATTGAACAAATCTTAAAGAGCTTACAGTGAACGATAGCAGTTGCAGAAGTGATGGCTTCACCAATAATATTCTTAGCTCTGCAGGTATACGTTCCAGAATCTTCGGGATATGCGTACATAATGTCGAGAGCGACGAAACCGAAGCTGTTTGTTTCGACAAATCTCGAGCCCGCTTTCACTGGTTTATTATTGTGGAACCATTCGATCTTCATCGTTGCATCGGACACCGGAATTAGTCTGCATTCGAAATGTGCTCGCTGACCCTCTTTTATCTCGACATTGTTCAACGAAGTCGTGAAAATCGGTGCCTGAGTAGTGGTTTCTTCAATAACTTCCTGTCTCTGATATTTCGATCTATCTTCGAGATAGTGAATCTGCTCAAGCCCGAGCTCGTTTTGCGTATCCGTTAAGATTTGTGCGCCCGAGCGACATGTTAAAGTGCAAACCACCTCGTCGCTGCCTACCAGATTAACGGCACGACATGTGTAGGTTCCAGAGTCTTCGGCGATCAAATCAATCACATCCAATGCAACGTAACCGAAGTCATGAATCGGACGGAAACGGTGCCCTGCAAATTGATGAATTGGTAAATTTTAGAATTGAATATTTGTTGATGATTTCGAAAAGAGCGTAGCTAGAGATAATGTTGCTATTGTGAAATTAACAAATTACCTATCGTTACTGGACGACCATTCTTGAACCACTCGACTTTCAAATTCGAATCCGTCACCGGCTCCAATTTACACTCGAAATGGGCGTGCTGTCCTTCTCGAAGATTTTCCTGATTTTTCGGTTTTGTAATGAATTTCGGCTTTACGTTGACGACTTCGTCGACAAGTTCGTGCCTTTTGTATCGCGACGCATCCTCCAAGTACTGTATTCTTTCCAATCCTTCGGGATGTTGAGACTCGAGAAGTAAATCTTTCTTTGCGTGTACTCTTATGGAGCACGAAGTAACCGCCTCGCCGAGCTGATTTCTAGCTTGACAAGTATATACGCCAGAATCTTCAGGATAGACGCCAAGAATGTCTAGAGCCACGTAATCAAATTCGTAAGATGGTCTGAATCGGTGGCCAGTTTTGACCGGCCGACCGTTGACGAACCAATCGACTTTCATGGTCGCGTCACCAACTGGTTGAAGACGACATTCGAGGTGAACGTTGGTCAGCTCTACTGTTTCAATGTTGTGCAGAGGTCGAGTGAACTGAGGTGCTTGCAGCACAGTGACTTCCTCTTGTTGCGTTCTGCGATACCTATATGAACAAAATAAATTAGTATTTATAAAACAAATTTATAAAACAAATCGTGGAAAAATATGAAAAATAGAGCAAAAACTAAAAACGAACCTCGATGAATCCTCCAGCATTTGTATCTGTTCGAGCGATTGTTCGTTCTGCGTTTCGGTGACAACGTCAGATCTTCCGATGACTCTGACGCAAGCGGAAGTATGCGCAGTGCCTAGATGATTAGTCGCTCTGACCGTATATTCGCCAGAATCGTAAACAGTAGTATGTACTATGTCGAGTGCGACAAATCCGAAATCGTAGTAAGTTCTGAATCTGGAGCCGACCGTGACCGGACGTCCGTTTTGGAACCATTCGACTCTCATCGTCGGGTCGCCCATTGGTTCCAGACGGCACTCCAAGTGAATATTTTTACCCTCGCTAACTGGTTTCGGGTCGCTTAAAGGCTGAATAAAGATTGGTTTCGATTTGGAAATCTCTTCAATATGATAATGTGGTTCGATAAACTTGGACTCTTCTAAGCGTTGCGTTTTTTCGTAAGTGCCGCGGTGCATACTGCTGGTATCTATGCCGGAACGCGCTGAAAGAATTAATAACATTAATTTTGATATTTTTTTCAGCAAATTTTTATAATTGCATATAAATTAAATTCCATATCTTACTTTCTACAATCATGGTAGCGGACAAACGAGCTTCTCCGCGAGAGTTTCTAGCCACAACAGTATACGTGCCGGCATCTTCGGAACGAACCTGAAGAATATCAATGGCAACGTATCCGAAATCGTGATACGTCTGGATTCTATTAGCGGCAGTAATGGGTTTGCCGTTGTGGTACCACTCGATTTTCATGCTCAGGTCACTTTGGGGTTCGACACGCGCTTCGAAATGCGCCCGCTGACCTTCCACGATCTTATTAGTGCCCTTAAGATTGCCCAGGAATCGCGGTGCCTGTGTGACCTGCGTTTCTTCTTGAATCTGCCGCGAATATCTAGCAGAATCTTCGAGAGACTGAATTTTCTGAAGGCCGGTAGGGTGTTGACTATCGTAGATAACATCATTTTTGCTGATTACGCTCATTTGAGCGGTGGTGTGAGCTTCGCCGGCTCTGTTGTAAGCCCGGCAAGTGTATACGCCGACATCGTATATTGTTACGTATTTGATAGTCAGTGCCACGTATCCGAAGTTAAAGAAAGTTGTAATCCGAGAACCTGGTCGCAATAATATTTCGTAATTATACAAATTCGCAATATATCTCTATATAAATAAAATTATATTACGCACTAGCTTCTACAGGTCGTCCGTCTTTGAGCCATTCGACACGGAGGTCGGCGTCACCGATTGGTTCGAGACGCGCCTCAAAATGAGCAAATCCTCCTTCGCGTATGCCACTCTGATCCTTAATAGGCGATTTAAATTCCGGTGGGCTGCTCGGTTCAGGCTGCTCCTGCACGTATTTCTGGTGCATCGCCTGTTGATACGCTTCCAACTCCTCGGCAGCCTCGATATATCTCAGTTGCTCGGGGATACCCAAGTCTGTCGTTACACTTGTTCGTGCTGCAGAAACAGAGCAAGAAACGATTAATATGCGAAAACGTTAGAAAATCAGAGTTGAGACTTACCGAAGACACGGAGAGACGCGGAGCTGATGGCCTCTCCCAAGCGGTTCACAGCTCTGACAGTATAAGAACCTGCATCTTCAGCCCGTAGGTGCAGTATGTTAAGTGAGACGTATCCGAAGTTGAAGATACTAGTGATTCTTGAGCCTAGAAAGTGATTTAGTATTTTTTTTATTTATTTATCTTTTAAACAATTTTGTTGAAAAAAATCGCGTCGGACATTCGTTGAATACTCACTGGCTGTGATTGGTTTTCCATCCTTGTACCACTCCACTTTCATGGTGGGGTCGCTAACAGGTGTCAATTGCGCCTCGAAATGGGCGTTACGACCTTCCTGTAGCTCACCAAGATCCTGGAGCGGGCGGATGAAAACCGGCTGCTTTGAAGAGGTCTCCTCCACGGTCTCCTGCCTTTGGTACTTGCTGTAATCCTCGAGCTGTTGGATATATTGGAGGCTGTCGGGGTATTGGCTTGCCTGTTCAATCGTGGCTCGTGCTGGCAGATAAGAAACTTGTTTAGTTTACTGTGCAAATAATTGTCGAGAAGAAAACTTGCAAGATATTTTTACTCACGGGTTACGCTGAGGGTGGCTCGAGATTCGGCAACACCAGTCGAGCTTACGACGCGGCATAAATACTCGCCGCTATCTTGAAGAACGATACTAATGAGATCGAGAGAAATAAAACCGAAGCGGAAGATGGAAGTCGCTCGGGAACCTGCGAGAAGCATACACAATCAATGTG